AGAGCAATAAAATATAAATATTTAAAAAAAAATGAAGGCAAATAAAGAAGCCAAAGTTGAGAGATGGGACAAGATAGAGAATATCTTTTCTATGTTTGTATAGCTCATACTAAATATGACGTTAAAATGCACTAATTAAATAATGACAAGCTGAACACAAGTTCCATGGGATTCAAGCACTAATCAGAACAGAAGAGCCGAGGGACATGAAAGCGCTGTCAATTAACAATGCTGAGAGGGAACCGAATACGGCCCATTCATTTTGGATATGAGCGACCCCAGTAATAATCAAAGATGTCAGTTTTCAAACAATAACCAAGTGGATTCATTAGTAACATGACATTACAGCGCCAGCCAGAAACAAACAGAGAAAAAAAAAAAAAAAAACCTCAGATAACAGAGATAATGGACAATTTGGCACACAGTGTGTTGGCCAATTATTGTTTTTTTTTGTTTTTTTTTCTTAAGCAACTCAACTAACGCCTTAAGCTACCTGCCTTATTTTCATCTCCGTACCTGCGCTACACTCACAGAATTGGCATAATCCTTTGTTCTAGCAGCTTAGAACAGTCTCTGCATGGAGGCAGTGTGAGCACACAAACCGCCAGCATCCCTTCACACAACCAAGGCAGCGCTTCAAGGAATATCTCCGCTCGCTGCTAATCGAAGGCTTCAGCTAGCCATGGGTCTTTATTTTTTTCAGCTGAGCATTCCGTTTTTCTTTATACGTTTTGATCACTACAGGGGAATTTTCACAGAGCAGTAATTACACGAAAACTGCTAACTCGCCGACTAGGCTAGCTGTTAACTCCCAGCAATAGACAGGACTTATTTCATGTCAGCGTATAAGGTATTGACAGTACAAATGTAAAAAAATAACAAAAAAAAAAAAAAAATCAGAATTTTGTTACGGCCTGGGGGATGGGGGGTGAAGACAGTCAGGAGTCTAACAAGTTCACAGGAAGTTAACATAGGAGGTAGAATTGGCTGAAGTTAGCAAGTCTGCTAAATAGATGGAAATGAAAGGTGCAAACAATGCTGTGTGCTCATGGTAATGGAGGCAGGAAAAGTGGCAGGAATGTCAGTCTAAACCACAAAGACTGCAACAGGTAGAAGGGAAGCCGAGAAAGCCACAAGGCGTACAGGCTGGAAGTTCTATCCTGTGTAAACTGATCCTTTCATTGGGGGAGGGGGACCCAAATCCTTCCCCTCTTCAACAACCTCTGCAAGGGACACCATTCAAAACAACCTGGAGGAGAACAAAAAGAACACAACCTATCTCCAGGAACTCCAAGGAAAACAGATCGTGTCAAGAGTTAAACTCGACCAGACTCCTAGGTTTAATCCCCAACTGTATGCCATTACATTTGTACTTTAAACAACTGACAATATGATTTTCACCTTAAAATAAAATTTAAAAAAATATTGCTTGCACCTTTTTTTCATCTCAGTGCTACTGATCTCCTCCAACCTCTTTCATCCATTTCAATCTGCTGCACATAATGGCTCGGAACTGGCTTCCTAACGTTGACAATGCCTATGCAATGTATCTACTTCTAGAGATCACGTCACAAAGTCAACACACCTGGATAAGTACGGTTTAAAAAAACACACACACACACACACACACACACACACACACACACACACACACACACACACACACACACACACACACACACACACACACACACACACACACACACACACACACACACACACACAACACACACACACACACACACACACACACACACACACAAAAAAATCAGTTGAGCCCAAAGAAATTTTAAAATGACAGTCCAGTCTAGGGGTTAAAGATTTGTGAACCGAGCCTAAAATCTTTATCCAGGGTGCCTGTGATGAGGTGACAGCATAGACTATATTCTCTATCCAGGCTGCTTTTGATAAGGTGACAACATAGGAGACTATACTCTCTATTGGAGGTGCCTTTCATAAGGTGACAGCATAGGAGACTATACTCTCTGAGGTGCCTTTCATAAGGTGACAAGGTAGGAGACAATACTCTCTATGAGAGGTGCCTTTCATAAGGTGACAACCTAAGAGACTATACTATATGGGACATGCCTTTCATAAGGTGACAACAAAAGAGACTATATACTCTCCATAGGAGGTGCCTTTCATAAGGTGACAACGTAGGAGACTACTCTCCATCAGAGATGCCTTTCATAAAGTGACAACATAAGAAACTATACTCTTTCTAGGATACCAACACAGGAGCCTATATGTTCTTTCCGGAGCACATGATAAAGTAGCAAAATAGGAGACTACAGCCTCTATCTGGGGCACCTTTGACAAGGTTGGAACCTACAGTCTCTATCTAGTCAGGCTGCCAACATAGGAGTTAAGTACCTGAGAAATATGTAATAAAGTGAAAACACAGAAGACTATAGTCTCCATCCAGGCTGCCAATTTAGGACCCCATAGTTTCTATTTGGGGCACATATGATAAACTGACAACATAGAGACCTATAGTCTCTATCCCAGATGCCAACACAGGACCCTCAAGTCTCTATCCAGGGCTTCTGTGGTAAATTGACAAAGTAGGACCCTATAATCTCCATTTGGGGAACCTATGATGAGGTAACAAAGTAAAGTCATATAGTCTCCATCCAGGGCTCTTGTGATAAGGTGACAAAGTAGGACCCTATAGTCTATTTAGGGCTCCTGTGTCAAGGTAACAAAGTAGAACCCTATAGTCTCCAACCAGGGCTCCTCTGATAAGATGACAAAGTAGGACCCTATCGTCTCTATCCAGGGTTCCTCTGATAAGGAAACAAAGTAGGACCCTATCGTCTCTATCCAGGGTTCCTCTGATAAGGAAACAAAGTAGGACCCTATCGTCTCTATCCAGGGCTCCTGTTACAAGGTGACAAAGTAGGACCCTATAGTCTCTATATAGGGTTCTTTTGATAAGGTGACAAAGTAGGACCCTATCATCTCTATCCTGGGCTCCTTTGATAAGGTGATGAAGTAGGACTCTTTCATTTCTATCCTGGGCTCCTTGATAAGGATGAAAGTAGGACCCTATCATCTCTATCCTGGGCTCCTTTGATAAGGTGATGAAGTAGGACGCTTTCATTTCTATCCAGGGCTCCTTAGATAAGGAAACAAAGTAGGACCCTATAGTCTCTATCCAAGGCTCCTGTGAAAGGGTGACAATGTAGGAACACACCTGGGAAACAATTTTGTTAGAAAGTGCCTGAATAAGAACCTTGGTGGCAGGTTTAATGAAAGCTACAGATTAAGACAGGTACAAGTTAAATCATCTATGAGATCAGGTTTGGATGTAGTTTAACCTCTCCAGGCTGTAAGGAAATCAGCTAGGACCCCAATAAGTAAAGCAGAACAGCCAAGACCCCTGTCAGACCTGGTCACCTGGCAGAGGCATGTATGTCCATGTTGAAGATGGAACAGATAACTAGGGACAATAGGACACCTGGACTAGGTGTGTAGAGATGGGGGGGGAGGGTCAGGCTCCCCGTAAAGTTCCCAGGTCGGGGGGTTTTCAGTCCATCACTCACCTGCAGACAGCTGCCCGCGGAGCGCTGATGCCCAGACGGTTGAGAAGAGGAGCGGGACCAGCAGAACACAGCCGCCATCCATGTTTCCTCCAACTTTCCCAGGTAAGGCAGATCCAAGGAGCAGAGGCGGCACAATCCCAGTGTGAGTGTCCTGTCCCCGCAGATTACAGGAGAAGCTCGGCGCTCCGGACTATGACAGGCGCTCCGCACTCAGCGCTCTCCATGCTCGGCGGCTCCCCGCACTCCGGAGTTACTTTCAGGGTCTCTGCTGGGGGAAGAGAAGGAGGGGGGAGGAGGAGGCAGCCCTGACGTCACCCGGCTACACCAAACTAACCCCGCTCGGGAATGTGTAATCCCTGGGGACACAGGCACCGCGCCCCCTACTGGAAGCTGCTCGGGAACTACAGGCCAAGGTGTGCGGCGGACGGCTCAGGCTCCGGAGTGTGCGGAGATCATCCAGACAGGCGGTGTGATAGAGAGCGGAGTGTGGGGTGGGGAGGAGGCTGTGCTCAGAGCGAGCACACAGTCACACCCCTCCTCTGTGTAGATCGGAGACAGCACTTCGTACAAGTTTTCTAGGATGGATCCTGGGTGCACGGTGCCTCCTGTACAGTGCAGTCACTAGATGGTGAGGACGAGCTGTCAGTGTTAAGCTCAGGAAACTGTACTGTCTGGGCTGCTCAGGAGGATCTCCTCCTTGGACACTGGATCTGATGGGCTGTCATCACAATGCTCTTCTCTTAGAAGTCTATCACACTCAGTGGGGGGGTGATTTACTAAAACTGGAGTGCAAAATCTGGTGCAGCTGTTCATGGTAACCAATCAGCTTCTAACTTCAGCTTGTTAAGCGAAGCTTTGACCATAAAACCTGGAAGCTGATTGGTTTCTATGCAGATCTGCGCCAGATTTTGCACTCTCCAGTTTCAGTGTAGGTTCACACCTATGCGGTTTCAATTGCGGTTTACGGTTTAATCAGCCCAGCAACAAGTCGAAAAAAAAAAAATGCATGTGCAAACACTTAAAATGCACGGAAAAAAGCACTGCAGAGATGGATCAAACTGCATAGGTGTGAACCTAACCTAAGGGCTGGTTCACACCATAGAAACACAGTCCAGATGAATTCCGGATGCATTACTGCATGCGCATGTTTGGCGCACTCCAGTGTGTTTTTGATACACTCCAGTTCATTTTTCCCCCTCTTTTCTTCAATTTAACCACTTGCCTACTGGGCACTTATACCCCCTTCCTGCCCAGGCCAATGTTCACTGACTGATGGCACTTTGGGGCACTGGTGGGTGGCACTACTAGGCACTGCTGGGCACAGGTGGGTGGCACTGCTGGGCACAGGTGGGTGGCACTGCTGGGCAAAGGTGGGTGGCACTACTAGGCACTGCTGGGCACAGGTGGGTGGTACTGCTGGGCACTTGCGGGCAGCACTGCTGGGCACAGGTGGATGGCACTACTAGACACTGATGGGCACAGGTGGGTGGCACTGGTGGGTGGCAGTGCTGAGTATGATCAGTGCCCCGAGGATCGGTGCCGATCCATCCTCTGACAATTTCCAGTTATTGGCAGTACTTTCCTCACGCTGTGACAGCATGAGGAAAGTACAACCGACAACTGCATTTATTGGTGATCTGCTGTGTCATTGGACACAGCTGATCATGTGGTAAAAGGCCGCTGTGATTGGCCTTTTACCACATCATGTGATCAGCTGTGTCCGTAGGACACAGCAATCACGGAGATCGCCGGGTGCACACCCCGAGGGCGCGTGGGAGGGCGAGTTCTGGGAGGACATCATATGACTCCCTCCCAGAACTGGACAACTGCACTGTAGCCATCATTCGGCTATAGCGTGGTTGGCAATTGGATAAATAGGGACGTGTGCATTCTGGTGCGTTTTTGATGAATTTTACCTCATTTCAGTACAGTTCTGTAAAACAGGAAAAATGCAGCATGTTCTGCTTTTTTTCTCTGCAACCGGAATGCACTGGAACTGCAAGCACTGATATGAACTATGACATTGACAACCATATAACCTGCTTTCTGTGCATTTTGGATGCAGAAAAAAGCACACAAACGCATGTAGTGTGAACTGGCCCTAAACTTGTGTTCACACCAATGCGGTGTGGGAAACACTGCGAATCCTGTGTGTTTCCTGCACTGTATTGCAATTGCATTGCATTCATGCGATCTGGTGCAGGTGTCAATGATAAATTAATGACACCCCAAAACATTGCAAAATGCAATGCAATTTCCAGAATCGATGCAATCCAGGTGCGGATTTAGAAAAGGGTCCTTTGCTTTTTTGATGCGGATGGGATTTGAGCCATACAAAATTGCACCACACAGACATTTGCATGTAATTCACACAGGAATGCGATTCCTATGAGAATTACATGCGGTGTCCCGCACAGCATAGTGTGAAACCCAGGCTTAGTAAATCAAGCCCACTATGTCTATACATGTTCATTTACTGCTTGTCTATACACAGGGGAGCTCTGCCAATCATTGGAAAAGGGATGAGCTAAAGCAGAATTTCCCTGCCGGGGGTTCCTCCTGAGATAGCTGGGGCTTCCTTGAGCAATCAGAGGTGGGGAATGGATCTTCTACCTTCAGTGATCACTAGAGATCAGCTCAGGATTCCTCCACACTCGTCTCTACCAGAACAGTAAAAAAAAAAAAAAAATCACACGTTTTATGCTAAGTCTGCTTTCTCACTGATCAGTTTTTCTTCCGTTTTTGCATTTAAAAAAAAGCAGAAGAAAAAACGCATGACCATTAAATCCTATTGAACTCTCCAAACTGGTCAGTTGCAGGTCCGTTGCGTTTTTCAAAGTCCTACAAAGTTGCATTTTTGGTGCGGTAAAAAAAAAAACACGCCCCTCCCCATTGAATTGAAAACGCTTCAAAAACATATCCGCGGTTTCTTTTTGGTTCATTTTGTGAGTCACGTGTCCTTTTTTCTCAGGTACAAAATGAACCAGAAATGCAGCAAAAACGCATATAAATTTTTTCTAACGGTAAATTGCAATGGAAAGTAGTGGAAAGCTGGTGATATATGGATCAAAAATCAGCCAGCTCAGGGTCCAGCCAAATTTCAATCCATCTACAATCGTTCTAGCTTGAGAAAAGTTGATCTAATTATTTATTACAGGTACTTATGTAGCACCATCCATTTACTCAGAGCTTTACATATTATTATTATTATACAGGATTTATTTAGTGCCAACAGTTTGCGCAGCACTTTACAATATAAAGGAGACAATACAATTACATACATTTCAGTACAGAAGGAATATGATGGCCCTGCTTGTGGAGCTTACAATCTATATACATACATATATATTGTACATTCACATCAGTCCCTAACCCTCAAGGAGCTTACAATCTAAGGTTACTAACTCACATTCATACATACACATTCTAGAGGACAATTTAGACAGGAGTCAATTAACCTACCAGCTTTGGAATGTGGGAGGAAAATGGAGTACCCGGAGGAAACCCACACAGGCACAGGGAGAACATGCAAACTCCAGGCAGGTGGTGCTGTGGTTTGGATTCTAATGATTGATTTTTCTTACACTGGAATATTGGAAAATGTTTATTTGAATAGCGTCTCAGCTGATTGGCTGATCAGTGTATTCTGACAGAGGATATGTCTCCACTCTCAGAATATAAAAAGGCCCCTTTCACAGGAAGGGACCAGTCAAGTCTGCTGGTCAGTTTTTCAGGTGGACCTGACCGGACCTTCTATTCATCTCTATAAACTGGGGATGGGGGGTGTGTAAACTAACTTGTGGGCAGCACAGTGGCTAAATGGTTAGCACTTCCGCCTGGCAGTACTCGGGTCGTTGGTTCGAATCCCAGGCACGGCACCACCTGGCTGGAGTTTGCATGTTCTCCCTGTGCCTGCGTGGGTTTCCTCTAGGTACTCTGGTTTCCTCCCACACTCCAAAGACATGCTGGTAGGTTTATTGGATCCTGTCTAAATTGACCCTTGTATATGAATGTGAGTTAGAGACCTTAGATTGTACACCCCTTGAGGGTTAGGAACTGATGTGAATGTACAATATATATGTAAAGTGCTGTGTAAATTGACAGCGCTATATAAGTACCTGAAATAAATAAATAACTTGTGTCCGTTTACATGCCCCTAACTGCAATCCTTTCCGTCTAGGCAAATTGGATCAGAGGGTAGTCAGGTATAATTAGACAGCAGAGTCCATTTACTCCCGGCTGCCCATAGAGCAGAGCGGGGCCTCTCCGCATCCACACTGCATAAAATTTATTTAATATTATTATTATTTCAGGTACTTATATAGCGCCATCAATTTACGCAGCACTTTACATATATATTGTACATTCACATCAGTCCCTAACCCTCAAGGGGTGTACAATCTAAGGTCCCTAATTTGCATTCATACATACACCTACTAAGGCCAATGTACCCTAGGTTCACAGCTAAGCGTTTTTCTGCAGCATTTTGCAGAAATGCAGTACAGTCCATTTAACATGATTTCCTGTGGGACATGTTCACACCTGTGCGTTTTCACCAGGTACGTTTTTTGGAAAGGCTCAATGACACTTTTTTTAACGCAAAAAGTTGTATTTTTGTTTCTATAAACTTCAATGGAAACACTACTGAAAAGCATGTATTGCATTTTTGCTGCGTTTCTGATGCATTTTTGCTGCGTTTTGCATTTTAAATCTGCCTAGCAACAAGAAAAATGTAAAAGAAGAAAAAAATATGCAAAACGCATCAAAATGCAATGCAGAAAAACGGCTCAAAGGCAACCTGCATAGGTGTGAACCTAGGGTTAATCGGAGCCCTCCTCATCTGAAAGGGACCTACACAGCAGGGAGGATTCCTCCATTCACTTCCATTGTGTGAATGAGGGAATCCATTTTTTTTTAAGCCAATAACATAGTACTTATGTCCAGGGGCAGACTGACAACTCATGGGGTCCCCGGGCAATAGGGGATCATGGGGCCCCTGTGTCCTTGTCCAAACTCAAAAAAGCCTATGAAAAGGTACCAGGGGCATCTCATGGGGCCCCCTACTGACCCCGGGCCCTCGGGCAGTGCCCGAGTTTCCAAATGGTCAGTCTGCCCCTGCTTATGTCTAGGGTTTCTCATGGTAAAAAAGGTTGAGAAAGACTGATCTAAAGGATGATCATACCATTCTAAGAAGGTGATCTCCAAAATAGATTGCGTACACAATAAAAGAATATGCTGCCAACATAATGCACATATGTGGCTGCACAGATGTTGCTGTCATTCACAGCCTGTGAGCCAATGAGGAGAGAGCAGGGGAAAGGGCCAAGCTCTGTTCCGTGTGTGAATGGACACACAATGCGTGGCTCGGGAGCAAGCCTGCTTGAGTGCCCCCATAGCAAGCAGGCTTGCTATTGGGGGCACTTGGCAGGGGACCCAAAAAGAAAATAATCAGGGCTGCTCTGTGCAAAACCATTACACAGAGCAGGTAAGTATAACACGTTTGTTATATTTTTAAAAAAAAATCTTTCCTTTAGAAACATTAAACTACCTGGAATATATATATTGCTATTGTGGTTAAGGATCTGGGAGTGCCGTTGCATCCCCTCTATGAATGGTAGGATTTGACCTCCAGACCAGAACTGATTTGGATTCTTGCATGAATATCTTGCGTGCTATCTTTGAAGCTCTTTGCTTTTGATGTGAAAATATTGGAGATCTATAACACCTTTTGGACTACTATCATCATGTCCCTCAGCTCTTCCGTTCTGGATTTGAGAATTTCCACTCCAGCAAACTGTATGGGAAGTTTTGTTTTTACACTACTGGGTTTTCCTATACAGATACTGTTCACATGTGCTCCTGATGAAGATGTTGAAGGCATTCAAATTACGCTGAGCCAACATGTGGATGTTAAATTGAAATAAGATCTATGAACTTCACTTTGCAAACACTGGAAATGATGCTATATAACATATTAATATTTGTATAATAAACTTTATGATTTTATGAATTTACTTTGTGGTACCATTTTCTATATGCCCAGAAAAAATTCAATAACTACAAGTATTTGAGGATATGGACACATAAGACAGAGAACCTTTATACCTTATATGTACGTCACACATATGCATCCATGGACAGCTGAGGTTTCTATGCTGAGAGCACACTCACTGCATGCTCCCAGCACGGTGACTGAGCTGTCATAGACAGCTTTCATTTGTAGTAATGATCAGATGCTGGTCAGACCGGCTCCCAATTCTATGACACCTGCTACAGCAAATCACAGTAGTAATGTGATCGGGCAATCTTTCCTATCCAACAGGCATGAAGAACCAGTTAGAGGGACGTTGGGTGGGAAGGATTAAAGTAGAACTCCAGCTTGAAGCCCAAGATTGTTATGTGTTTTGCAATCACTCTGCAATGCACATCAGTGGAAAAAACATTCACTATGGGGCCCATTCACATCAATGCTACATGGTGTAGTGTGATTTTTTGAAAAGGTGCACTTGCTTCTTTTGGTTCTGAAAAGTACATTTTAGACCCATAGACTTCAGGGGGAAGACATGAAAAATGCATGTACATGCGTTTTTTTTTTGGCATGTTCCTGGTGGTTTTTTTGCTTAAAATTGAGTCTATTCCTCCTAGCAACAATTATGTCACAGTAGATATTGCTACTTATTGCCAAAACATGAACACATAAAGCAGGGGTCTCCAAACTGTGGCCCAACGGCCGGATGTAGCCCTTTGCTACCCTTTATCCGGCCCTTGGGGCACTATTCCTCCCACTGAGACCAACAATGGGGCAGTACTTCTTCCCATGAAACCAATGATGGTGTACTATTCTTCCCATGAAACCAATGATGGTGTACTATTCTTCTCATTAATACCAATGATGGTGTACTATTCTTCTCACTAATACCAATGATGGGGCACTACTCTTCCTACTGACCAACAACCCTGAGCAGGGGCGGACTGACCACTTGGAAACTAGGGCACTGCCTGAGGGCCAGGGGTCAGTAGGGGGCCCCATGAGATGCCCCTGGTACCTTTTTCATAGGCTTTTTTGAGTTTGGGCAAGGACACAGGGGCCCCATGATCTCCTATTGCCGGGGGGCCCCATGAGTTGTCAGTCTGCCCCTGACCCAGAGGCCATGTTTATTCTCACTGATGCTGGAGCCAGGATATTTTCTATCCTCACTGGCCCTAATCCAGCTCTCCTAAAGTATGAAGGATAGTATATTGGCCCTTTGATTGAAAAGTTTGAAGACCCCTGACATAAAGCATTAAAAACATGCTACAAAAATGATCTGAAAGATACATGATTATGCAGCACAGAGTGAATCTTGACTAAGTGCCCAGCCTGGCCAGGAGGTTGGAAGGAACACAAAAACTAAACAAAAAATTGCACACGGCGTTCCACTGGTAAATGGACTTGGCATCAGATATATATTTGTGTTAAAGTGAAACTCCACTTTTTCTTTTATTATTTTAAATATGGTTCTACCCTCCTGTGTTAACTAGTTGCTGACTACACTATAGCCGAATAATGGCTACAGCATGGTCATCCAGTTCCGGGAGGGTGTTATATGATGTCCTCCCAGTACCGCGCCCCCCCCCCCCCCCACCTGCGAGCACCCAACACTCTCTGTGATTGCTGTGTCTTTTGGACACAGCTGTTCACGTCATGGTAAAGGGCCAATCACAGTGGTCTTTTACCACGTGATCAGCTGTGTTCAATCTCAGCTGATCTCAATGTAAACACACTTGCTGGTTATCGGCAGTACTTTCCTTACACTGTCACAGACAGCCAGTCAGTGCTGCCTATCAGCGCACTTCAGTGCTGCTTTTTAGTGCCCATCAGTGCTGCCTATCAGTGCCCATCATTGCCACCTGATAGTGCAGCCTTATCAGTGCCTCCTCATCAATACCCACCAGTGCCGCCTAATCAGTGCAACCTATTAGTGCCACTTCATCAGTGCAGCTTATCAGTGCAGTCTATCAGTGCCCATCAGTGTAGCCTCAACAACGTGCATCAGTGAAGTAAAAAAATTACCTGTTTGCAAAATTTTATAATAGAAACTAAAAAAAAAAAAGGGGGGGGGGTTCAATATTTTCAGTCTTTTTTCTTTTATTTATAAAAAAAAATAGAACACTCAGTGGTGATTAAATACCAGCATAAGAGAGATCTATTTGTGTGTGAAAAATGGGTACAGTGCAGGGGCGGACTGACCATTTGGAAATTCGGGCACTGCCCGAGGGCCCGGGGTCAGTAGGGGGCCCCATGAGATACCCCTGGTACCGTTTTCATAGGCTTTTTTGAGTTTGGGCAAGGACACAGAAGCCCCATGATCCCCTATTTCCCGGGGGCCCCATGAGCTGTCAGTCCGCCCCTGGTACAGTGTTGCATGACCGCAACACTGAAAGCTGAAAATCAGCCTGGGCAGGAAGGGGGTAAAAGTGCCTGGTAGGCAAGTGGTTAAAGAAAAAAATTCAGCTTCAATTTACCATCTTCACACTCCAGTATTGTCCCTTGCTTCCTCCTTGGTCCAGTGCCAGTAGTCCTGTTTGAGCAGAATGACAATTGTGACAATGTTGCAGTCTGATTTACTGGGGAGAGAAGATAGTTATTTTCTGCCTGCTAAAGGCTGATGACATCATCTCAGTCTAGGCAAAGTCACTTGCCTGCAGCTCTGGGTGTCCTTTTTAATATTACTTATGAAAGGTACAGATTTTTACAGCTTTTTTAAAATTATACTGTTGCTATATATTGTGACATTTAGGGGCTGAATTGTGTAAATTAGTAAAGTTTCATTTTAAAGCTGCAAACCAGACAAACTGATAAACGCATGCTTACAATGCATGTTTGGAAGACTTTATCCATCAGACCATTTACATGACTGTCCAGCCTGTTCTGAGATTTGCACAGCTCTGCCAGATAGCACAGGCTATGCTTCTTTTGTTTTTGCAGTGAAACAATACGGCTTAGTCACTTCCATGCCTGCATCCTGTGATTGTAAAGTGAAGGTGAAACAGCGCGCTAAAGCCTGGCACACATAATAAGGTTTTTTTTCATTCAACCTGACAGATCGTGTACTAACACAAGCAATGTTAGTACAGTAATCGGTACTGGTAATCTCCGCTGTGCTATTGTGTTCTGAAAGAGAGACCTTCCCCTCCGACAGAACACACAGGTCAGTGCTTACAGCCATTGGCTGCCAGCACTAATCAGATGCTGATTGAATGCTGATTTTCCAGCATGCCCATTCAACAGAAGCCGATCTTCTGTTGGACAGGGAACTACACACCAGGGGCGGACTGACCATCTGGAAACTCAGGCACTGCCCGAGGGCCCGGGGTCAGTAGGGGACCCCATGAGATGCCCCTGGTACCTTTTTCATAGGCTTTGAGTTTGGGCAAGGACACAGGGGCCCCATGATCCCCTATTGCCCGGGGGCCCCATGAGTTGTCAGTCCGCCCCTGGTACACACAGGCCGAAAGTCAGCTGGTTTCTACTGTACCTGCTGATTTTGGCCAATATTTTGCCCATGTGTTCCCAGCATAAGGCTTCAATCAATCAGCCACACGGGGGCTGCCAGTGGTGGCTGTTAATGAGAATCAATAGATGCTAGTAATAGGCAGCCTATAGATGACCTGATTCCCCCATCCACAGATTCTAGGTGGATGGGGGAATCCTGCCCACTGTGTCTTTGTATTCTGACAGCGGGGAGACTTCAGAATACACTGGTCAGTGCTGTACAAATCTATGTACGGAGCCACAGTTGTTTGTATGTACATGAGCAGTTACATGTGAATAGAGTCTCCAAAGCAGAGATGCCACTTCATCCCTCACTTGCCCTCCTGAGGATTTACCCCCTTTCCTGACCAGGCAATTTTTTGCATTACGGCGCTGCGTTACTTTAATTGACAATTGCTTGGTCATGCAATGCTGCACCCAAATTAAATTTGCGTCCTTTTTTTCCCAAAAAATTGAGCTTCTTTCTGTGGTATTTGATCGCCTGTGCGTTTTTTATTGTTTGTGCTATAAAAAAAAGTCCAACAATTTTGAGAAAAAAAATATTTTTTACTTTTTGCTATTGAACATGTCCAGTAAAAAAATTTAAAAATCAATTTTCGGCATAAATTTACACCGAAATGTATTCTATGACATGTCTTTGCTAAAAAAAATCCCAATACGTGTAAATTAATCAATTTACGTGAAAATTATAGCGTTTACAAATGGCGGTATACATACTTGGTTTTAAATAAAAAAATTTTTTTTTTATTTTTTACAATAATGGTTGTGATCAGTGACTTATAGTGGGACTGCGGCGGACATTCTGACACTGGGGGGAACTGACCTTGTGTCACTGACATCCCCAGTGACACCAATACAGTGATCAGTCCTACAAAAAAAAAGCACTGACACTGTACTAATGGCACTTGGAAGGAGGGGCAATCAAAGGGTTAACTGCGTGCTGGGAGTGTTTTACTAGGGGGCGATGTCAGTGTGCTTCACTGTAATCACACTGCCTTGGATGGCTGTGCTATGCACAGCCATCCAAAGCAGTGTGCCTGAGCTGACAGGGAGGAGAACTGTTAGTAAACAAAACAGTTCTCCTCCCCAACAGAGATCCTCAGAAATCACTGGGCGCCGGCGAGTAATCACCGGGCGGGACCCGGTGATTGACAGCCACGTCCGTGAATGGTGAAGAAAAGCAAAAACAGGGCGCACTCTCTTCGTGCATTACTGTGGTGAAACATGAGTTTATTAAAAAGCATAAAAGTGAATACTCACAAACCAAAGGGGATTAAGATTTTAGGCGGCTGAGAATAGGTAGGGTGCACGTATGAGTTGCGAAATCATGTATATATATGTGATTTTGCACACCCGTGCCACCCTGCAGCAGTATTTCTTCTTCAGGAAGGAGTTAAAACCGAACACATTAATTACACAGGTTCTGTGGCTGATTAAGGTGGTAATTAAACTCACTTAGTGCCTTATCTGCATTTAATCAGCCTCAGAACAGGTGTAATTAATATGTGTTTGGTTTTAAAGGGATGAGGTGGCAACCCTACTCCAAGGGAACCTAGTTGCATCCAGAATTGGCATTTCTGCAGAGTTCTGGCTACACAAAAAATGGTCAAAACCAATCGTAGCACAAAGTGTTGCTGTGTCCAGAGGCGGCCATCCTTGTTAATGTAATCTAATGGGTCATCTCTGCTTTCACCTCCTGTTTCCATGTTCCTGTTCAGCACATATGCATGCAGTGCAGCCTGGCTCTTAGTGCAGACTCTCTTCCCCCAGTCTAAGTGGTGCTGTACAGGGGAATGCACTTTGCATGCAACCATGACTCTGTACTGCCTTAGCCCAGGTACACACCAATGCAGTAAACGCTGTGAATCCTGTGCGTTTCCTGCACTGCATTGCAATTGCATGGCATTCATGCAATCTGGTGCAGGTGTCAATGATAAATTAAAGTGGAGCTCTACCCAAAAGGGGAAGTTCTGCTTTAAGGCTTTGTCCCCTGCTCCCCATTAAGGATTGGCACCTTTGGGGAGCTGGTATCCAAATTTGACAGGTACCCGCTCCCACTTCCGCTGCGATCGCCTAAGGTGAAGCAGAAGTTGTCCTACTACTACTTGCGGCTGTGCAGTGGGCACCCGGCTGTGAAGCTGCGAGCTGTCACAGCCAGGTGCCCACAATGAAGATGCCAACACCGTGGAGGAGGGCCGGTGAAACCAGCCTTGGTGAGGACACCACTGGACTGAGGGACAGGTAAGTGTCTGTATTTTAAAAGTCAGCAGCTACAGTTTTTGTAGCTGCTGACTTTTATTTATTTTTTATTCAGCTGGAACTGCGCTTTAATAACACCTCAAAATGTGATGTGATTGCCAGAAATCGCATTACATGGGTGAAAACACTCATGCGATGCGATTCAGGTGCGGCTTTAAAAAAGGGTCCTGCACCTTTTTAGTGCGGATGCAGTGCATTTTGAGCCATACAAAATGTATGGCTTAAATCGCACAGACATTTGCATGTAATTCGCACAGGAATGTGGTGCGATTCCTGTGCCAATTACATGCGCTGTCCCGCACAGCATAGTGTGAACCCAGACTTAAAGTACCTTCACACTATTGCAGCTTCTCTGTGGCCTGCGCTTCTAATAGAAGCTCATTTTTGCTGTGTGTACGGAAATAACTGCGATTTACGCACAGTCGCACACCTGCATAGATGTGAACCTACCTTTACTGAATACACCCTTTATGGTTAAAGGCAGGGGCAGACTGACAACTCATAGGGCCCCTGGGCAATAGGGGATTATGGGGCCCCTATGTTTTCGCCCACACCCAAAAAAGCCTATGAAAGGTACCAGGGGCATCTCATGGGGCCCCCTACTGACCCTGGGCCCTCGGGCACTGCCTGAGTGGCTAAATGGTCAGTCCGCCCTTGGTTAAAGGACATCACAAAAATTATATTGCTAGTAGCAGTCGGTTTGAATGTAAACAATAAGTTCCTCTTTTGAAATAAATAATAAATGCACTTTTTTTTTACAGGTAGAAAAATGTGCGTTTATTATTTTTTTGTTACAGGAGCCTTGAAATCATTGCACCAGTGATCAGCAGATCTCCTAATCTAAGGATAACAGTAGCAACTGTCTGGAAAAATTCCTTTTGGAAAATCAATGTTTCCTCCTGAGATCGGTCAGGCAGAAGTTTTCTGAGTGTCTATGAGCATGTGATCATTTTGAATGCAACTGTTATTGACCAGACCTAGCAATTGTTATCTTATGTTATAGGTGTCCTGTTGTGTTTTGTAATCATACTCACAGCGGCCACAAAGAATATTCAGTGGTGTCATAGAGTCATACACCTGGGCATAATGAATGCAAAGCTTTCCACTGCAGTGCAGCCCAATGTATATAGATCCCAGAGTAGTGCAGCACTGACACTGCACTTGCTGTTCATTAAAGTGATTTGTAAAGCTTTCATTTTTTTTATTAACCACTTGCCTACCAGGCACTTTTACCCCCTTCCTGCCCAGGCCAATTTTCAGCTTTCAGTGCTGTCGCACTTTGAATAACAATTGTGCAGTCATGCAACACTGTACTCATATGAAATTTTTATAATTTTTTTAAGACAGATAGAGTTTTCTTTTAGTTGTATCCAATCAACTCTGGGTTTTTTATTTTTTGCTAAACAAATCAAAAACAACTGAAAATTTTGAAAAAAAAGTTATTTCCTAGTTTCTGTTATAAAAGTTTGTAAATAAGTGATTTTTCTCCTTCACTGATGTGCGCTAATGAGGCTCTAGTGATAGGCACTTATGGGCTGCAGTGATGGGCACTGATGAGGAGGCACTGGTAGGTGGCACTGATGGGCATTGACAGGCATCACTGATGGGCACTGAAAGGCAGCACTCCTATATGGCACTGATAGGTGGCAATGATAGGCGGCACTGATAGGCAGCACTGATGGGCACTGATAGACAGCACTGCCTGGCACTGATAGGTGACACTGATTGGCAGCACTGATAGGCGATACTGACTGCCACTGATAGGTGGCACTAAAAGGCAGCTCAGATGGGCACTGATATGTGGCATTGATGTTAACTCGTAGGCACTGATATGCGGCATTGATGTGGCACTGACAGGTGGCATTGATGGACACTGACAGGTGGCACTCATGGGGCTACACTGATCATCAGGACACTGATCATCAGTGCCCTGATGATCAGTGTACATGTCCCCTCCAAGGAATGCCGATTACCAGCTCTCCTCTCGAGCTGTCAGCGGAAAATGGAAATATGTTGTTTTTTTATTGTAGGCCTGTAATTCTTAGGAATAACTCACTGAAATCTGTCCGAAGAAGAGTCTAGTAAACATCCCGGGTATGATAAAATTTGGAACACGAAATCATAAATTATAATATAATAAATAATCATAAAAAATAATAATATAATAAAAATAAATGTAATTCAATAATATAATCAAATCAAAAACACTGAAATTTGAAATAGAGCGCCAAGTTCGCACATCACTGAGCAAAGTCGCAAAATCGTTTTCAGTGTCTGATGACGAATTTCCCCACGAATCATTATCACTCAATTCTGCAAGGGATTCTACTTTACTATCGCTGATCTCTAGCTGGTCTAAAACCGCTTTTGACCTAATGGGATGCTTTTTGGATGCCATGGACGTTTCTCAGTTTCAAGGCAGAAAGAACGGTAAAAATGCAGGCAGGGCACAGGACAAAGCACTAGGGACAAAATATATGTGAAATGGTTTGATACAGTAATATAATACTATATCAGATTTTAGTGTATTGAGTGAATGTCAAATTTTTACGTATGTACCGACGCACGCAGGGAACGGAACCTGGAAGACGGATGCCGGCATCGGCTGGAGGACATGGCCGGGGACGCTGCAGGGGGGACATCACGGGACCGCAGGACAAGGTAAGTGCTCGAGGGATCGCTGGAGAAGTGCTGCAGTGTAATCCAGAGTGTAGCTCGGGGTTACCGCTTCTAGTACTGAAAGTTAACCCCGAGCTACACTAGGGAATACCGCCAGGGGGGTTAACAGGTGCTTTTAGGTACATTATTCCACTTTTATGATTTTAGTGCAGCACCCTGCTAGGTAGGTGCTAGGGTTGGATAGATAGAATTTGTTGTGTCTTTGATAGGTAAATTTAGTTGTCACTCTGTAGTGGCTGAGTGGCCGTAAATTTTTGTTAGGAAAAAGCATAGTTAGCTCACTGTACTTGGTGAGCTGTGATCATTTAGTTAGGTCTGCTCTGTGTGCTCAGGTCAGTGTTGCTGGTCTGCCTAGCTTCCTCTCTACCCAGCAAACTGTAGAAGTTCCTGGTTGATAGGTGTGGAGTTATGCAGATGGCAGCATGAATATTGATACAGCCTCAGCCTACCCCAGGGAAGAGGGGCTCTCAGGCATGCTGGGTAACTGTATATATTCAGTGAGCACACAGGGCTCTGGCTTCTTTCCTGTCCAGGACTCATCCAGCCTAGGAGAGGGCACGTTGCCCTTCCAGGCAGCTACTGCCATGCGGCCTCAGGTGGGTGACCTGAGAGCCTGAATGTTGAGACCGAGGTTCTGCTATGCTGACTGAGGGACTGTCTACTAAAGATCTGAAAGGCATCCAGTTGCTCTTGGGCCTCGTGAGTGCAGACATCCCTAAGCCGTCATGCACACTTGCCGTTTTTACAGCTGCTGTTTTTGTTGGTGTTTCATGTTTTTTTCTACAGCTAGTAAACCCCTTATCATGTTGTGATATGAGTCCATGCACATGCACACATAGGCTGTAATCAAAGTTTGTTGGCAGGAAAAACGGTCTAACGCTGAAAAACACGGTAAAACGCAGCAAACTGGCATTTTTGGACCTTTTATGTTTTTTGTTAAAAAAAAAGCTAAACGCTAAAAAATGCACATGTGGGAAAACGCCGCTAAACGGTAATGCCAAAACACTTAAAAAAGCTGAAAAACACGTTTTTAACGTGATTTTACACAGCTAATGTTACCAGCGTTATCAAAACGTCAAGTGTGCATGAGGACTTAACATCTACACGCCGGCCGAACGCAAATGTGTGGCCTCCCGGCGTCTGGGTCTAGACGCCGAGCGGCCGCACATTTGCGTTCTATTAAAAAAAGACGTGCTGAGAGCGCGCTCCCAGCACACATGTCCAGTACTCACGGA